CTGGGAGCTGCCCTGCACCGTGGGCCTGGGCACCCACATAGCGGAAGCCAGGATTCTGGACATGGATGTGGGCCCCTCCTCTGGGCACCAGGCCCTTTATGTAGGGCGAGAGAGCAGACGCAGTGGAGATGCTGCACTTTATTGAAGAAGGGCAGAGCGAGAGGGCGCTGCCTGTGGGACATCAGGGCCAAGTTCCGCAGAACAGGGCCGGGAGGGGCGGTCTCATTTCTGGTGGCTGAACTTCTTCCCCATAGCCCCGTCAGAGCCCTGGTTGGCAGCCTTGTCAGTGGCTTCCTGGGGCTTCTCAGCACCTGGGAAAGGCAGGGGCGGTGGGTAAAGACTCATACAGGTAGCAAGCGGGGGGCTCCCTCCCCAGGAGGCCCTGGGGTTGCAGCCGGAGGAGCTGCAGGGGACCCCCTCTTCCCCTGTAGCCCCCAGACCTTTCGGTCCAGCCTCGGTAGGGTCCACTGGCTGGCCTGCAGTGGCACCTGTCGAGAGAGGGGAGAAAGACCCCATTAGCCACTATGGAGCACCTACCCCTGTCCCCCCAACCCATGGATGGATGCCACTGGGGTGAAATCCCTGTCCCCTCTGCCTGAGCTCGGACACCCAGCAGGCCCTGAGATCATCCCCCTTCCTGCCCATGTTCCTTCTTCAAAGGGCTCTGGCAGTGCCCAGGGCCCCTGGGGCACTGCTGTCCCAACCCCACCAGCCGTCATCCCCTTGGTGCCGCTGTGAGCGGGCGTCCTGTGGCCACTGCAGTCTCTGCCTTGGGGCACAGACCCATGGGCAGCTCCCACTCCAAGTGCCCAGGAGGTGTGTGCAGTGCCCAAGTGGGGTTCCCTGCTCACCTTCTTGGCCCGTCCCCTCCACCTGCTGCTTCAGATCCTTCAAGCCCTTGCTGGCCATGGCTCTGGGAGGTTTGCAGGTTTCCCAGGACAGCTGTAGTGGAGCTGGATCCCGAGTACCACGGTGCAGATCCAAGCACAGCTCGGGTTTTCAAGGCATCCAGGCTGGCCCGCCCCAGGGGGGGCTGTGGGCGGTGCTGGGACGGGGCTGACACGTGGCAGGCCCTGCCCTGGGCGCCACAGGGGCCAAAGGGGAGCTGGCACATGTGCAGACCCCTGGGGGCCCACCATGGGAGGCGGTGGCCTGAGCCAGGGTCCCAGGATGGGCTGCGGCTGCAGAGGGGCTCAGTCAGCCGTGAGGAAGGGGTGAGGGGCAGGAGAGGGGAGCCCACGCCTCTGTCCCCCAGGGCCCAGCCCCTTCCTCCTCGACCTCGAGGGTCCCCACATGGTCGGGAATCGGGGCCACAGGTGACATTAATAATAGCAGCTGCCGTGCAGGCGCAGCCCTGATGCACTGTGACAGCCTCTCACGTACTCTGTCCCGTCGCCTGCTGAGATGGTGCGATTCTTAGCAGCACTGGGTGAGAGGGGAACTAGGTGGGGAGAAGCAGGATGGGTGGACTACGACACCATGGGACACTGATTCCCCCCCCACACACAGCCCTGGCACCACAGCATCTGTCCCCCGAGGGCACGGGGGGGGTCCGATGAAGACCCCCAAAGAAGGGGAACACGGTCATGAAATGACGTAGCCCAGAGTGAGGAGGGAGAAAGGAGAGCACTGTCCCCTGTGTCACTCTGGGGAAGGGGACAAGCAGAGGTCACCAGCGCCCAACCAGTCAGGCAGGAAGCACTGCTGGGCGGACAGGAAGGCCCGGGGGTGTTTGCTCTGCTCTCCCAAAAGCTGTGATGCTGCTTGCACGGGGCCCAGGAAGGCTGCAGCCACGGCAGGAGAGATGGCCAGCCCAGGGGCGGCGGCAGACGCTGGGGCCAGATCTCTGGGACCCAGTGCCCTGGGACAAGTCCAGTCCCCTCCCTGAGCCTTGCTATCCGCGACCTCAATGCAAGGACACTGACACAAGTCTCGGAGTTGCCTTGTGAGGAAGAAATGGTTGCGGGCCCCAGTCTGTCACTTGGATGAAGGGCCCGGTGGACAGAGAACAGGTGGTTTGAGCAAGGAAAAAGAATTATTCTGCAAGGAAGCCGGCGTGGTGGCACCCACCTGTCATCCCAGCACTAACGAGGCTGAGGCGGGAGGATCATCACATGTTGGATGCCAACCTGGACTACATAGTGAGTTCAAGGCCAGCCTCAATTGCACGGTGAGACCTTGTCTCAAAAAACCAAAGAGAAAAAACAAACAAGCAACCCCATCTTAACTGTGCCTCAGTTTCAAGCTCCTTTGTCCTTGGGGGAGGGGGCAGGAATTGGGGGGCGAGGTTAGGATGGGACCCATGCCCGGAAACTTTCCGTCACCTCTCCAGTGGTCTGGAACCACCATTGTGAAAGCTGGGGGTGGTACACACACCGCGAGGTCATGATGCCCCACAGACCTCAGAAACGTCCCAGTTGTTCTTATCTTGGTGTCTTCCGCTGGGGGTGGGGGAGGGGAGTGGGCGGGCAGACCGGGCTGCATCGAGGCTCCCAGACAAACATTCCTCGAGTGACTAAGGCGTCTCCACACACAGTTAAAGTCTGACCGGGGGTTAGGGTGGCAGAGGGCAGGGTGTGTGTGGGGCCCCAGGACCTGGCACTTCACTTGCTTTAGTTTCCCATGTGGCACTGGCACTTGCAGCACAAGAGACCTTCAAGTCCCTGAGAAGTGACCTAGGCAACTGCTGTCCTCACAGCCCCCTCCACAGGTGTCACCTGCAATAAGCAGGTGGGGGACTGAGCATACAGTGCTGTGTAGCGCGATCTCCAAAATTAGAGACTTTAATTTTTTTTTTTTTTTTTTTTTTGCCTTTTTGAGACAGGGTATGGATATGCAGTTGAGGCTGGCCTTGAACTCATTTTGTAGCCCAGGCTGGCCTCAAACTTGCAAAGATCCTTCTGCCTCAGCCTCCCAAGTGCTGGGATTACAGCCGTGTGCCACCACGCCTGGCCAAAATTAGTGATTTTAAAGTCAACTAAAAGCAGGTAAAGCTAGAGGCTTTGTTGATTTTTTTGTTTGTTTGTTTTTTTAGTATTTTTGTTTTGTTTTGGTTTTTGAAACAGGGTCTCCCTATGTAGCTCTAGTTAGCGGTGATCTTCCTACCTCAGCCTTCTGGGTGCTGGGATTACAAGTGTGTACAATCATGCCCAACTGTTAAGGTTTTCATGGGGTTACATGCTTGACACTGGAAGGGGACCCTACAGAAGACAGGGTAGAGAGGTGGGGTGGTAGCTGCTTCTTGGGGTGCAGAGCGCAGGAAGTGGGGTCTAAGACAAAGAACCCTGTAGGTGACGGGGAGGGCAGGGCTTTCTGGAAGGGGTATGAGTCCAAGGCAGGTACCACGTGTACATGCGTGAGTTCAAGGGTGGGTGTAGGGTGGAAGCAGAGGGACCCTTCCTCGAGTGACCTTCTGAGCTCCTTCAGCGAAGCAGGGCACTGCTGCTGGGGAAACCTTGCCCAGACCCCTCCCGTGCCCCCAGCCTCCCAAGGAGCTCCTGCTCCCCTCGCCTTCTCTTCCAGCCCAGAGAGCTGCCGCCACCCCAGGCTTCTGCCGCCATGAACATGCCAGGCGAGAGCAGGGAGTCCCCTCCTGCCTGAGCACCCCACTTCCCAGGGCCAGCCCCCACTCCTTCCTGCCTCCCAGCAGCGCATGCCCCGGCTGGGTGCCCTGGACTTGACCAGTGCTGCTGGACCCATGTGAGCACCCAGCCCTGGGACCCCTGTGCCCCATCGCTGAGGCTGGGGGAGGCAGTGTGGATGGGGCAGGTCTGGAGTCCTGACGCGTGACAGGAGGCCTGGCCAAATCACTTCCAGGCTCTGAGCCCCAAGGGCATGTGGACCCTGGCAAGGTCCCCGGGGACAGGATTCCAAGTGCAATGCAAGTGGCCCTGTGGGACACTGAGCAGCCTGAGGCAGGGTGGTCTTAAAATGGTGAGGCAGGTTCCGTGCTTGAACCTGGAGCCATGCAGTCCATGGCTTGGTGCAGTGTGGGTCTCTGGGTGGCTCTGCAGCAAGGCCACTTGGAGTGTGCCCAGTCCCATACTGCCCAGCTGTGTGCCCCAGGCAAGTTACCTAACTTCTCTGGTCCTCGGCTCCTACCCAGGGAACCAGGGCTCACCTAGCTCCTCCCGACAGTTTGTGGGAGGCTGACTGTGGAAACGTGGTGAGCACAGGGCCGGGACACCGGGCTCCGCAGAGCTTCACTCATGACCATCATTTTCCTTTGTAGTTGCTGCTCTGTTACTTGTTTAGTGACAGCTAGCAGCTTCAGGAGAGAAGGGAAAGCCCTGCCCCAGGTCTGGGGCAGAGAGGAGGACACCGGGTCACTGGGGGTGTCTGCTGGGGCAGCACTCTTGGTCCTCACTGTGGATTTAGAACTCTCCACCGTTTATGTATGTGTGTGAGTATGTATGCATGTATGTATGAAGGACCCAGGGGCTTGCTGTGTAGTCCACCCTACCCTGGAACTCACTTTGTAGCCTGGGCTGGCCTCCAAGCTACCACAATCCTCCTGCCCCAGGCTCCCACATGCTGGGATTTCAGGTGTGCACTATCATGTCCAGTTTATTTTTTATTTTGAGACAGCGTTTCCCTAAATCATTAAATTGCCCAGGTAGCACTTGAATTTGTAATCCTCCTGCTTCAGCCTCCCAGAGAGCTGGGATTATAGACATGTGCCACTGCCTGGCTAGACCTCACCATCTTTGAAAGCTACTGGCTGCTGAGGGAGGGGAGGTGGGCATCTCTGCTCCCCAGGACACTGGGGCTGACCATGCACGTGGGGCATCCTTGCCAGATGGCCCCGGGTCCCTCAGAAGGGTGGACCTGGGAATAGCCAGACAGTGCTCCTGGGGCCATGGAGCCCAGGGGAGTGGGGGGTGGCCTGTGGGAGTGTTGGGAGTTCCCCAGGGCACAGAAACACAGTGTGTCCCCGTAGTGTCCCTAGGCAGGGCCAAGGGACTTCACGGACGATGACACAGCAGAGCGAAGAGGCAGGCCTGGGGCGAGGCTCGTGGTTTATTTGGAATCATTAAAAAAAAAAAATTCACAGCAGCATTTGACCTTCGGGGCAAGAAGGAGCGGAGGAAACAAGGTGGGGGCGGTAGGTGACACAGCGGCAGCACATGGAGGGCAGACAGTGGCAGCCAGGTGGGCGGAGCTACCTCTTGAGATGCAAGAGCCTGGGTCCAAGGCAGAGGGGCATCCTCGGGCATTGGGGCCCACAGCAGCAGTCTAGTTGCCCCCACTCTTGGCCTGGGAGAGAGAGTGACTCTCACACTGTGCTTCATGCCCCAGCCCACGTGGCCCTCCAGGCCCCTTGTGGGGGTCTTGCTGCCAGGCCCAGGGTCCCCGTGGGGAAGGGGGTGGTCAGAGGCTCCCAACAGGCCCTGAGACCCAGGGAAGCCAGGGTCTGGTGTTCCCACCAGCTCCTACCTCCTCAGCCGCTCCTTCCTCCACGGCTGCCTGCTTCTCCTGGGCAGGGGTGGGGTGCTCCAGGTCCTCCTGCAGGGCAGCAAAGGGGGTCTGAGGCTTTGGGGAAGGCTCAGAGACAGCCCTTCTGGGGGTACCTGCCCCCCCAGCTGACTCTAGTCAGCTGACTTCTGGGTACCCCTGCTTGGGTCCCTTGATGAGGACACTTGGGGTGAGGGCAGGGCTGGGATGGCAGAAGTCTGAATCACAAGAGTGCACACCTAGGCAGAGGGCTGCGTCTCTGCTGTTCACAGGACCCTGAGGTGCAGCAGGGCTTGTCGGCCTCAAGTCCAGCTTGCTCCAGGCACCCTCTGGTAGTGTGGACCCTCTACCGTCTTCTGTCCCCCTACATGCCAGCCCCTTGCCTGGGTGGTCATGATGGTGGGGGCTCAGGGCAAAGCAGGCAGTGGGCCAACCCTGGCCTTGGCACCAACTGCTGTGCTACTGTGGGGCCATCTTGCCCCTGGAACATGAAGGGGGCATGACAGTGCCCAGAGCTGGCCAGGTGGACCAGGCCTGTGGGTAAAGGACTGATGGCCGCCTGCTTCTCTGGCTGCCCCCAGGCCAGAGCGAGAAGTCCGGGGCATGGGCACTCTGTCCACTGGGGCAGGATGGGGCTGGGTCTGAAGGTCACAGGATGGTTTCCCCTGGGGCTGCTCCAAGGACCTATCTGTCCTCCAGGACCAGTACAGGGCTGCCTGGCACCTGTCCCAGGGCCTATCCCCCGGGGTCTGGGCTCCTGGGCACACACAGATGGTGTTGGGCGCTCACTCTGAGCCAGGAAAAGCCACTTCCGGGAGGCCCCTTCCCGGCTGCACCCCACAGCGCAGTGAGGCACACGCCACCGAGACCCAGAGAGAGGACACCACTTCCTAGGGGTACACAGCTGGCCGGGTAGAGCTGGGGGCGGGGACAGGGAGCAGCTGCCTGCTCCAACTCGGAAGCGGATGCCTGTGCGACCCCAAACGGGGTAGAACGGAACCCTCCCATCCCTCCCAGAGCCGGGGCCTGGGTGGGGCGGTGGCAGCACCTGCGGGGCCTGCATGCTCCGAGCCAGGCGGGGCGCCACGCCCGCATGGACTCACGGGGGACCGGCCCATTACCTCAGCGGGCCTCACGGGACGTCTATGCTGATTAAACGAGTTAAAAAGCGTAAAGAGCCAGGCACCTGGACAGCTCACACTGCTGGCATGTCCTCCGAGAGTGCCTTCGGGGCCCTGCCTTGTCTGCTGGGCCACACACGTGCGCACTCGTGCGCGCACCACAACGCGCAACACACAGTGCACATGCGCACGCACACACACCTGCACAGGGTACACATGCACGCTTCTTGCACAAGACACACATACCCTGCACAGTGCTCACTCCATGCACACATGTGCATGCGCTCTCACATGCACACACGCACACATGCCTGCCCACACAAAGGCCATGCCGAGGGTGTGGTTGGGAGCCTTGGCTCTGTCTACCACCAGGGGGCGCTGCTCCCCCGCTGCTCCTGGGAGGAGGCAGTAACCAGCCTGGGCCAGGCTGGGTCCGGGGTGGGAACTGTGGGTCTGTTGCTGCTGTCAACAGCTGGGCCCTGTGCACACTTATGCAATACGGCCTCTCCTAGGGCTGAGAGCGCAGAGCGGGCGTGGTTTGGCCTCACTCTGCCTGTCTATAAAATGAGCCCCACTCCCCACTGCAGGGGACACCAGGTGGCAGATGGTGGACCCAGCTCCCTGTCCTCGCGTGTCCGGCAGCAGTGTCTCGTCCCCCAGCCGTCCTCTGGGCTCGGGGACAGCTGGAGACCAGCCTCACCTTGCGCACCACTCCGGCGGTGACCACAATGTTCTCCGCTTCCTCCACGGTCTTGGTGGCCACGGTGTTGACGCTGGTGACCACAGCCTCGCTCACGGCATTGGCCTGCTCCTTGGTCTTCTCAGCCACTGCGGGAGGACGAGAGGACACTGGCATCGGCTGACCCCACCCGGCCTTCCCTTCCCAGCCCCACCACTGCCCTTCTTGACCCCAGGGACCCTCTGTGCCCAAATGGGAAGAAGAGGCCCTCCCCGTGCAGCCCTGGGTCTGCGGGGATCCAGGCTCACACAGGGCCTGGACTCCAGTTGCAGTGAGGAGGACTCAGGCTGGGGTGCAGGCATCCTGTTCCCTACCCTGCCCTGCCCCGCCTTGTCCCTTGGTCCTGGGTACCCTCACCTGAGCTCACGCTGTGCGCCACGTTCTCCTTGGTCTTGGTGCCTGGGGAGGAAGGGAGGCATCAACCCAGGCCCACGTCCCAGGGTCGGGCAGATGCCACAGGACAGGGGGACGGGCTGGGGCAGAGCGGTGGGTCAGAGTCTAGGTAGGGTCTGGCAGCCCCATCAATGGCAGCTTCCTGCTGTGTCCGGAGGAGGGGGAAGGATGAAAAGGAGACAGGATAGGATGGGAGACAAAGGAACCCGGGACCAGCAGGGTCCAAGGGCCCAGACCCTGGCTGGGCGTGGCCGGGGCCTCGGAAGCTGCAGCAGATGCAGACGCAGCTGAGTCACCGGCTGGGTCTCCTCTGCATCCTCTCCTGGGGCAGCTGGGAGCTGGGCAGACGGACCCTGAGCCGGTCCTCCGTCCCCAGCCCCACCCTTCCCTTGAGGCAGGGCCACCTGCAGCTGTGCTCAGGAGCCAGGGTGGGTGTGTTTGTGTGCACAGACAGGTGGTGGCCAGAGGCATAGATGCTCAGGCCCTGACCCCCGCTCACAGGCATGTCCTCAGCCAGCCACAGGGGCTTGGGGGTGGTGAGGAAGGTCAGGCCGAAGGTCACAGCCCCAGCCCCTCCTGCCGCTTACTCACCCACATACATGACGCCCTCCTTGGTCTTCTCGGCTGCCTCCGTCACGCCCTGCTTGGTCTTCTCCACAGCGCCCACCACTCCCTCCTTGGCGATGGAGAAGCCCTTCTTGAAGACATCCATGGTGGAGGAGAGGATGGAGACGCAGCTCACTCTGCTGCGGCTGGAGCAGGCTCGAGTGCTGCCACAGCCCTGCCCCGCCACCCCCACTGCCTCTTATTGACGCAGATGAAATATTGATGCTGTGGCTGCTGGCGCGAGCCCAGGCCGCCCAGTGGTGGGGGCAGGGACGCTGGGGAGGCTGTCTCCAGGCAGGGCCAGCGGGGAGCAGCGCCAGGCCCCTGCAGGTCACCCCTGCCCTCCTGCCCCATCTCCCAGGAGGGTTTGGGAGCTGCGCCCATCCTGATCTGCGCCCCTCATCCCGCCCAGCTTGGCTGCCGTCTGCTCACAAAGAGGGCCGTGGCCAGTGCCCAGCACCCCGGGTAGGGCAGGGGTTAAGGCCAGGCTCCAGCCTGACCCATCAGGGAGCAGGGCCAGCCACACACAGGCTTCCCCGTGGCCTGGACTCTGCCTGTCTGCTGCGTGATCCAGGAGGGCTCCTTGCCCACCCCGAGCATCCTCCCAGCAGCCCCAAAGTGAGGGGTGCTGAGGCAGCACCATGCACCTCCACTTCCTGGCCAGCAGCAAGGGTGGGCAGGAGATCCCCTGGGACCAAGGGACCACTTCCTGCCTCCCACGTGCTTCCCTGGGTCCCCCCCCATGGGGATGGTTTACAGGGCCACCCTGAGTCCCCACACCCACAGTGTCCAGGGGCACAGGAACCAGCCTGCGTGGTTGGCGGGCTCTGTGGTAAATGGGCGGGGGGAGCGGGCCGGACAAGACCCACGGCGCGGGGCTGGCCCAGGCTACTTCCTGTCTTTGTTGTCCCCGTGTTTTCTTTTCCTTCTGAGATTTAACTTGAAGACCACGTCACTGGCAGGCCTGGAGTCACTTGCTGCCTGCGCCTGCCCGGCCGCTGACATGATCCTGGCTCTGCTGCTTGGCCTCGGGGGGCCCCTGGGCTGGGGGCTGCTGGGGGCTGGGGCCCAGGCTCCTGGCAGCACCTTCTCCTACCCCCACATCCCCAGGCCCCCGGGGCCCCTGGGAACTGAGGCTGAGGATGGCACCAGGGGACCCAGTGGAAGGTAAGGAGGCCTGAGCCTTGGCAGAGGCCTTGGCAGCATCCGTGGCATGGCCCGGTACTGCCTGTGCCCAGGCGAGCAGTGACAGGTGGTACTAGAGCCTGGCACGGCGGGGCTCCAGGCCTGGATCAGGCACCAAGAGTGACAGGGAGCCCTGAGCCTAGGGCAAGGGCCCGGCTTCCTCTGCGGCTGTCCAGGGTGCAGGGCCGGGGACTCCAGCTGGGAGGCCCCACTCCTCTTCTCAGGAAATCGCCCTTGGCCTGGGAGCGAGAGTCCTGGGCATGCAGCTTGGATCTGGTGCCCGGGGATTGGCACTGATGGTCCTGGTGTCCAGAGGCAGGGCCCCTCTGGAGATGGGCGGGCAGCCCTACAGCTGGGTACACTGTTCCCGACATTCTGCCTGGGAGGGCCAGGGCCTCTCAGCTGGGAGGGCCCAGGAGAGCGTCCCCGGGATGGAGGCAGCCCCAGAGCCTCCTCTGCGGCTCCTCACGGTCAGAGCAGCAGGTGCCATCCCTGGCCAGGCGTCCGGCCAGCTGTGTCTGAGGGAATCTCCCCAGGAGCTCTGATCACAGAGGGAAGCCTGAGGCTCAGACAGGCCAAAAAGCTGGCCCCAAGTCACACAGCAGAGGGGACCCAGCCCTGGGAGCAACAGGCTCCGAGGTCCAGAGGGCAAGGGTCAGCTCCCACCCATGTTCCTCCAGAGACCCGCAGACAGCGAATGTGGAGGCCCTGGCAGGTGGGGACCCCTGGCCCTGGGTTCTGGGCTGGGCTGGTGGTGCGGCTGACCCGCAGTGGGGAGTCCAGCCCCTCAGCTCTGATTTCATTTATCCTTCTTTTCTCATGTTCCCCCTTCCTTCCTTCCTTCTTCCTTCCTTTCTCCCCCAGCTCTGGTTTCGGGGCCCAGCATGCAGCCCGCTCTCCTGGTGCCCTGGGCTCTGTGCTCATCCCTGGCGCGGAGGAGGTGGGGGAGGGACAGCATGGAGGAGGAGCCCCCTTCCCCTGGGCTGTGAGAGGGACCCTCAGCCTTCCCTGGCTGTTCTCAGGCTGTGACTTCGTGGTCCCCAGGACTCCTGGAGGGGGAGTCCCCTTCCCGCTGCCGGAAGCTGTGGACCTGCAGGGGAGGGAAGGCATCCGGCGGCTGGCGAGAAGGGAAGGAACAGCCAGGCTCCGCTTCCCGGGGTTGGTGGCTTCCCAGCTCCTGGGACGGAAGAGAGGCAAGGCGGAAGTGCTGGCCCACGACTCCTGCGGAGGGGAGGGGATTGCAGGCTCACGCGCCACAGCAGGGGCTGACACCATCCGCAGCGCTGGGGAGCCCCCAGACAGAGCAGGGCCTCCCTCCTGCCCTGTGTCTGCCTCTGCCCCCACACGGTCCCCGAGAGACCTTTGCAAGAACAAGCATGCACGGAGAGATACAGTGCCTGATGCCTGAGGTTCCCTCTTGCCACGCCCCGGGGTGGAGGACGGGCGTGGCCAGCTTCGTGCTCAGCCCTGAGAAAACACAAGGAGGAGCCAGTACCATACTGGGCCTGTGCCAGGTGGGGCTTGAGAACCGGGCTCCACAGCGGGGCGGGGGACGACGACGACACTGTCTGCCAGGGGGCCGTGCCCAGCCCGACCCACACGGCCTTGACGTGCAAACCCCAGGTGTGCTCTGTGCTAACGTCCTCAGCTCCCCAGAAAGAACCAGAGTAAGGGTGCTGCTCCAGGGCCCGGCCTGCTTGGGTTCCAGCACTAGGTTTCCGGTGGGAGGGCTGCTAGGCCCCTGTGCCCCAGCTACGCCCCACCCCCGGGCTCCCGGTTCCAGCTTGGGGCACCCCGGGTTCAGCCTCTCTGGTCTCCTCGGACCGCTGGGCACACTAATGCACAGACTCCGGGCTCCAGAGTGAGGCTGTCCCTTCCCGCAGGACTCGACCAGGGTCAGGCTACTAAGTGCTCAGCTGTGGAGCGGTGCATCCATTATCCGCCCATCCCTGCCGCTCTCTGCCGCCCACACCCTCTGTCCTCAGGGCCGCAGCTTCTCCACGTTTCCAGGAGTGGGCAGGGCCCTGCCCCTCACAGGGCCCAGAGGGTGGGTGGGAGAGCTGGGGCCCCGTTCAGGCAGGGGTCAGGGTGGGATCAGGCCTGAGTACTTGGCACACAGCCCGGGCACCATCTGCCCTTCCGCAGACCCTGGGAGACAGGGGCTCCCCAGGGCACCACCTGGCCCGAGGCTGGGTGGCTGCTGCCAAGAGCTGGAAGAAGCCCGAGCCAAGGTCAAGAACGTTCCCAGGGCTTCCCAGCCAGTAGCCAAGGGAGGGACGCCGGGCGTGGGCAGGGGGCAGCGGCTGTGAGCCAGGCTCAGGCAGGGCGGCTCTGAGAAGGCTCCTAGGCAGGAAGGGTGGGCAGTAGCACCTCCGGCCCAGGAGCTGGAAAGCCCCTGTCACACATGTGGGGCGGGCACAGGCTGACCCGGGCTTGAGCACAGCACCGGCCGTGTGGCGGCCACCCTGCGTGATGTGGGCTGCTCAGCAGGATTGCTGACCTCTCACCAGCAGATGCCATAGCACCCAGCTGCCGTAGCACAAATGTCCCCGTCTGCCTGTGGAATGTCCCCTGTGCCCCACTGACCACCGGGGTGCTGTGTCCTCACTCCTTGCTGAGCCCAGCTCTGGCTCCGCCCACTGTCACCTTTCTCCTCCGTCCCCCCAGATGGGGACAGCCCCACTCTGCCACCCCCTGGTCCCCAAGAACACTTGGGCCCCCCATCTGTCCTCCACTGCCCCACTGGCTTATTGCTTGGCTTTGGAATGGGGGTTTCTTGTTTGTTCTGTTGCTTTGGTTTGGGGGCTTCCCGTGCTAGGAACGAACTCTGAGCCCCGAGTGTGCCAGGCAAGCCGCTGAGCTCACCCGCAGCCCTGAGCTGGTCTGGGGGGCAAGAGAGAAACTCTACTCAGCGTCACCTTTGAGAATGTTCTTCTCATTCGCCTGCGTTTCCCCTATCACACGGACATGACTGATTGATTGACTGATTGATAACTGATTTTTGCGGTACTGAGGGTTGAACCTGGAGGCATTCCACCACTGGGCCAGTCCCCAGCCTCTTTCTTCTCTCCGCTTCTGTTTCTTCTTCTCCACCCCCTCTTCCTCTTTTTGAGACAGGATCTCAATGAGTTGTCCATCCTAGATTTGAATTTACATTCGATCCTCCTGCCCCAGCCTCCTGAGTGTCTGGGATTAGGTATGCACAGTCACATCTGCTATTTACTTTTTAAATTTCATTTTGATTAGTTACAAATAACCACTGGCCTGGTCAGAAAACTAAAGCCAGTGGGCCAAGTGGCGTGCTGTTTTCATTAATAAAATTTTATTAGAACACATTTGGGCTGGCTTAACATATTGTCAACACTATGCTGGCACAGTAGAGCAGCTGAGATGGCACCAGAGGACTTGGAAACCCTCACATTAGGGCCAGCATCCACGAGGCCCTGCCCTAGGATTCTTCAAAGCCCCTAAAGGACCCACATGGTGGCACATCTCTCTCGTGCCATCTTGGAATGATTTTTGCTCAAGAATCCCATTGTTTTGCTTTTTTGAGACAGGGTCTCACTACATAGCCCAGCCCAGCCTCCAACTTGCAGTGATCCTCCTGCCTCAGCCTCCTGAGTGCTGGGATTATAGGCACAGGCCACCATGCCAGGTGGATCCCACATTTTTATTTTGTAGGTAATAATGTGCTTGCATCGCTGTGTTAAGAGGTAGCATTACCTAAGATTCAGCTTTCATTCCTATGCCGTCCATGGCCCCAAAGCAAACACACACACACACATGCACACACCATTCTCCTGTATGGTCAGTTTAAGTGTTTATTTTAGTTTGTTTTTTTTATTTTTGGTTTTTTTGAGGTGGGGCCTTGCTATATAGTTCAGGCTGGCCTTGAACTTACTACATAGACCAGACTCACCTTGAACTCAAAGTGATCCTCCTGCCTCAGCCTCCTAAGTGCTGGGCTTACAGGCATGTGCCACCAAATTGCCGAGCCGGTCTGCGTGACCCCATCCACACAGCTATGAATGTCCCTGGGAGAGCTGAGCCTTGACATAAATGGTGACTCATTCTTTCCCCTGCTCACTTTGGGTTTCACCTGGAGTGAAAAATGAGTCTGTTTTCTTCCTCTGCTTGGTTCCTGGCTTTGTCCCTGATTCAGTCCCAGCTTTCAGCCTCTTGTCCACTCCTTCACACAGGGGCTGAACGGGCCACGTCCTCTGCAGAAGTAGCCTGGTGGCCTCAGTCAGGACGGCGGCCACCTCCACCCACACCGCGCCCCAGGCACCCTCCCTGCTCCCGCTGTCTGGTCCGCGTCTGTGCGCTGGCTGAGAACCCGGATCCCTGCCACACTGTGACCTCTGGGTCACTGGGCCATGCGGCCCCACCCCACTGCTGTCACCCCAAACCGCTGAGGGACCGAGGGACCCGGGACTTGTGTTGCTTTGGTTTTTTGGTGCTGGGGAAGGGAACCAGGGCCCCCGCAGACACAGAACACCTGCTGCACCCTCGGCTGCGCCCCAGCCTCCGAGACTGTTCCTAAGATGGAACACGCTGGCTTGGAGGTGCAGGCGACCCAAGGCCCACGTCAGCACCGCAGATGACAGTCGGAGAGGCCGAGTCCCACAGCCGGCCTGCTGGGGTATGGGTCTCCGTGCTCCCAACTGCTGCTGCTACAGGTGGCCCAGGCTGTCGGCTTCTGTTCGGGGAGCGATTCACACTGGGCTGTGAGGGGCCCGGGGCTTTCCAGTCACTCGTGCGTTCGTGCGTGCGTATGTGCACTTGCGAGAGTGTGTGTGTGAGTATGTGTTCTCGGCCTGTGTTTCTTGGCATTTCTCCCGGGAGTGGGTAGAGCCAGCGTTCTTCCCAGAACCCTGAACCCCCACAGCGCTGCCCTCAAGTCCGAGTCCACGCCCCTCCGGTTTTTGCTTCTGGAAGAGACTCTGACATTTTTATCGACGACTTCCACCCTTTGTTCACCCTTTCTGGAACTCCTGTAATTTGGATGTTGGATTTCCAGGACTGGAAAGTTTTCTTAATTGTGTTTTTGCTTTTTTTTTTTTTTTTTTTTTTTTTTTTTTTTTTTTTTTTTTTTTTTTTTTTTTTGGTGTTTTGTTTTATTTTGTTTTTTGAGACAAGGTCTATGTAGCCCCAACCTTGAACTCAAGGCAATCCTCCTGCCTCTGCCTCCCCAGTACTGGGATTACAGGCCTGCGTCACCACACCTGACTCTTAACTCTTCCTAACATCTTGTCTTCCGCTTGCTCTTTTGGGGAAATTACTTTGACTTTGCCCTTGGACAATTTGATTCAAATTCTTTCTCATTTCTAATGCTGGATTTTTAATTCTTAGGAGCTCTTTTTTGTTGTCTGAATGTACACACACACACACACACACACACACACACACTCCACAGCCCCCTCTTGCTTTTTGGATGTGGTAACTTTTCTTAGCCGCCTGGGAACGCGAGTGTGCAGGACTAGAAAGCCCTCTTCTTCCCACAGTCTTGGTCCCGACTTCTCCCCCCATGCCCAGCCTGGCACTCTCTGGCGTTCTGTCTCCTCCTCCCCTCCATGCCCCTCTCCTTTCTCTGGAGCACCCACTGCTGACCCTGTGCTCTACTCTGGAGCTGCGCCGCCCCCTCTGCCTCTAGCGCAGCTGTCTCAGGAGTGAGCTCACGGAAGCCACGCCTGCAATCCCAGCTTTCCGGGAGGCTGAGGCGAGAGGATTGCAAGTTTGTACACAGCCTGGGTGAAGGACAGACCCAGCAGGACCCTGTCTCAAAATCAGAAAACAAAGAAAGGGGACTGCAGCTCAGCACGAAAGCCCCAGGTTCAACTCCCAGAACTGAAAAGAAAAACAAAACCAAGAGCGATCTGGACGCGCACCACCCGCCAGGGCGCAGGACCCGGCTTTCTGCTCTGCAGCGTCGCTCCCCTGGGTCTGCTCCAGGCTGGGTCTGTCGGGAAGCTGTGCCGCCCGCTGCCCGGGGCCCACGCCGGCTGCCAGCCTCTGAAGCCCAGTGGGAAAGCAGCTGGGTCTCCAGTCGCAGCAGCCATGGCCTCCCCTGCCCGCCCCACAGCGTCCTGTGGCACCCGATCGGCCCAGGGCCACGGCCCGCTCCTGACAGTGAAATCCCAGCCTCAACAGCCGTGATGGCTCAGGCCCCACCTTGCACCCAGGCACAGGTGTGGCTCTTAAGAGGAAGCCCCTCCCGAGAGCTCCCCTGCCCCTGCCCTTGCCACCCTTGCTGTTGTGGGGGCAACACAGGGAAGGGCTGCGCGTCGCACTGTCACGCAAGGCCTAGTTTGGAGCCCCTGCCTGAGGAGTTGAATGGTTCTGGGCCACAGAGGTCACTGCCGCCTGTGCCCCTGGGGGTGCTCTGCTTTGGGGGCTCATGGTAGAGGGAGGGTCTGACCCGCACTCAGCCCAGGACAGCGTGGCACACCTGGAAAGGGCAGAGATGCAGGGCTTCATCCCAGGCGTTCAGAGCCGAGCAAGACCCACAGGACCGCACCGATGCCTTTCTTCCTGGCGTTGTGACCATGGGGCGTGGGGCGGCCTGGGGTCAGGTGCCACCACCAAGTGGGGTCTCCGGTAGGGGGCCAGGGTGGGGCTCAGAGCAGCACCCTGGAGCACCCACCACCCCCTTTCAGGAGGCATCGCCACTCCACTGTTCAGAGGAGAAACACAAACTCCCAGAGCCACACGGCCAACGAGGGAGAGGGGTTTGAACCCAGGATTCTCCAGCCCGGCCCTGCTGTGCTACCTTCCAGGCACCAGGGGAAGCAGCAGGAGCCCCGCTGGCCCCGCAGGCACCCTGCCCTGTGCTCCTGGGCTCCTCAGCCTCTGTGCAAGGTGGGCTTGCACCCCTGGCTCCCCCGCCCAAGATGCTAACACCCGCGCTCTCTTCTTGGCTGGCAGATGCAGAGGACGGGTGCCCAGCGCCAGCAGCCCCTGTGGGCCTCGAAGAAGCTTCCCTGGGCCCGGGTATGGCTCAGTGCTTGCTGCTCTGGCTTGTTTTTTTCAGTAACTGGTGCCTTTACCAGATGTCCAGGATGGTCACCTTTGTAGCCGCCTGCAAAAAGGAGAGATTCCTGGTCCACTCACAGCAGCCATGTCCACCAGGGGCTCCGGACTGCCCAAGAGACAGAGTCATGTGAGTGGGGACAGTGGGGCCTCTGCCCCCTGGGCCTGGCTACCAGGTCGCTGAGTTGTCCTCCTCCCCCAGGTACCGCATGATCCACAAGCCAATGTACCGGCTCCAGCAGAGGGTCCTGACTGCCCCGGCCTGGAGGTGCTGCCGGGGCTTCCAGGGCCCCAACTGTGAGCTCCACGGTAGGGTAGGGTGCCCCTTTCCCTCAGCCTCTGGTCCCTGAGATCACACAGACCCTCTTGGGTCAACATGGCCACTTTTTTCTGCAGACCCCGTGGTGAGCGCCACGCCTGCAGAGCCGGGTGACAGCCTCCCACAGCCTTGGGACAAGCCGGCCAGCTTTGGACTCGGTGCGTTGCTTCCCCGGGAGTGCAGAGGCAGCAAAGCCTCTTCTCGGATGCTCGGTGCCACATCAGGGAAACCCTGTTCCTGGACTCTGCAGGGCCATGTGGCTCTGAGCCCTGTCGCAGGGGCCCACCTGTCCCCCCGGGGCTGGACCCATCCCCCTTCCTCTCGCCCCCACCGGGGCTGGGGCATCCCACTGTCCCTGGTCTTGGAGTTGGCACAAGAGACACCATTTGTGGTGTTGTTGGCAGTGGGACAGCACACAAGGAGATTGCCATGATCCATCAGTCCTGTCTGAGGTGGGCAGGGGCAGGGCAGGGCTCCACTGCCAGGCATTTGCTTCTTGGAGTTCAAGGATTCTAAATCCTCGCTTCCTGCTCTGGCCCCCAAATCTCCCCTCCGGACCCTGTGATCCATCGTGTGCCCAGTCCACCCTGCTGCAGAGCTCAGGGAGGCTGAGGGGAGCCTGGCACGAGACCTCCAGAATGACATCCACCAGGTGGCTGACGGCCTCCCAGGACCCTGGGCCACCTCGGCTACAGGGGACCTCACAGTGGGGGCCATGGAGGAGACAGAGATGGAGTCGGGTGAGTAGCAGGTTCGGGAGTTGCCTGGGCCTCAGAGCCCCATGCTTTGCATGGAAGACAGCTGTGCTCCAGCCCTGGCAGACACCCAGCCTTCTGTTGCAGACTTCCCTGACAGGGCCCTGGAACAGGTGCCACCGCTGCACGTGGATGCCTTCCTGCAAGAGCACATCAGCCCCATCTGGAGGAGCGTCAACGAGAGCCTGCGCAGCCTCTCCCAGGCAGTGTGGAACCTGTCCCTCGACCTGGAGGCTAACCGGCAGGCTCTCCAGCGTGTCCAGGCCAGCTCTGTGGCCAGCCCCGACTTACAGGAGCTCGGTGCCAAGTTCGAGGCCAAGGTTCAGGAGCACAGCCGGCACATGGATCAGCTGCGGCAGGACCTGGAGGGCCACCTGGAAGCCCAGCACCGGTCCCTGCACCGGGCCCTCGCAGAGGTCCAGGCAGAGATGAACGCCAAGTTTAAGAGGCTGCTCAAGGCCCAGGAGCCCCTGGGGACCAATGGTAGCCAGGTCGGGGCAGCCGCAAGACCAGAGCCTGAGAGCCTGCAGGCCAGGTTGGGCCAGCTGCAGCGAAACCTCTCTGAGCTGCACACAGCCTGCAGCTACAAGGAGGAGGAGCTGCAGGAGGCCTTCGGCGATGTAAGGGCCACCCTGGTCCAGCACACGCACGAAATCAAGGAGCTGTACTCGGAGTCGGACGAGACCTTTGACCAGATCAGCAATGTGGAGCGGCTGGTGGAGGAGCTGCAAGTGAACCACACAGGGCTGCGTGAGCTGCGTGTGGACCTCATGGAGAAGTCCCTGATCATGGAGGAGATCAAGGAGGAGCTGGAGCGGAGGCTGCAGGAGCTCAACGTCACCCTGCAGCAGCTGCAGAGCAGCCACGCCAGGTACCTCAAGGACTGCAGCTGCCCAAAGCTCTCCTCGGACCCGGACGCTGCGCGTGCCCAGGAGGAGAAGCCTGGGCCGCTGGACTCGCAGGACGACTCCTCCCTGTGGGCTCTGCGCGCCACCGTGGAGACTGCGTTGAGCACCATGGACGTGCTCGAGGCCAAGCACGAGCGCGCGTGGGCGGAGAGGGCACGGCTTCGGGGCCGCGTGCAGGCACTGGACAGCGAGGTGCGCGCACTGCGGGTGGCCGTGGAGGACACGCAGCGCGACGCGCGCCAGCTGCACAGCTCCTTCGCGGCGCTGCTGCAGGACGGGCTGCGCCACGAGGCCGCGCTGGCCTCGCTCTTCGGCGAGGAGGCGCTGGAGGAGCTGTCGGAGGGTGCGCCCGGCCCGCTGCCCCTGCGCTACGGGCAGGTCCTCGAGGCGCTGCGGGACGCAGCCCGCGGGCTGCAGGAGCAGGCGCTCGGCTGGCACGCGCTGGACGCGCGCGTGGCGGCCCTGGAGCGCGCGCCGGGGCCAGAGGAGACCACACCGGGTTGCGAGGCCTCCTGCGTTGCCAAATTCAATGGCTCCCTGCAGGGTCTCCAGGGTGCACTCTCCGCCACCCAGCGGGACCTGGAGCGGCAGCGGAGGCTCTTCCACGCCCTCTTTGGCAATTTCCGAGGGCTCCTGGCCACCAACGTCAGTCTAGACCTGGGCAAGCTGCAGGCCATGCTGGACAGGAAGGGGAAGAAGCAACAGAAGGAGCCGGCGGCCCAGAGAAGGGACAAAGAGCGGGAGCTGGAGCAACGGGCCCCGGGCGCAGGAACCTGGCGGCCAGGTGAGTCCTGGGGGGCGGGGTGGGGCTAGAAAGACAAAGGAAAAGGATGGTCCCTGTCGCCGTGGCCACCTGGACCCTGGCTCAGCCTGGCACACGGAGGTGTGGCCAACTGCCACTCCCCCTGGCACACTTGCCTCAGTTGCTTCCTCTGCAAAACCAGGAGCTCACTCCTTGCCGGAAGGAGTATTAGGAAGATAGAGCGTTGCACCTCCCAGAGGCCGAGCCCACGCTGAACACCCTGGGTCCCAGCCAGGCTCCCTGGTTCCCCAACACTTTTGGAGTGAGAGGCCGGGTCTGCTTTTACTAATTTGTCTATCTTATTTCTTAATAAGTGGCCTTGTAATATGCCAGGGACGTTCACACTTCGCCTAATGGCTTATGTAACTGTGTTTACCACTGCACTTATTTATTTATTTAGTTTAGCTTTTTTGAAACAGACTCTTGCTATATAGCCCAGGCTGGTCTTGAACTCATTATGTAGTTCAGGCTAACCTTGAACTCACAGGGATCCTCCTGCTTCAGCCTCCCAAGGATTACAGGCATGTGCCACGGTGCCTGGCACCACTGCAATATTTTCTTTTAGGACATTACTCCAGCAGAAAGTCTGTAGGGTTGAATTGTGCCCTAGAGGGCATGGCATGCCCAACAGGCACAGACTTTCCACCTCCTGGAGGCAACTGGGCACTGGGCAGGTGCAGTTCCCTCTATGGAGAACCCAGACGCAGGAGGTGGAGAGAGGTCGGGCGCCAGAAGAGGGCGCTGCAGGCCAGGCTGCCTCCTGCTGGGCGAGCGCGCCACCTGCTGGGAACAGTGGGAACTGCAATGTCAGCGCGGCCTTTGTGTTGGCCCAAACAGGAAAATGATTGTGAAGGAATTCGATTCCGGAACCGTAGAGATGGCTCTGGTCCTGAGACCTGAGTCCCAGGCTTCCTTAGGCCTCGGTTTCATCCCCTGAGAAGTGAGGGGCTTGGTCTCAAACCCCTCCCTTCCCCAGAGACACTCTTTTGGTTCCCCAGCAACGTGACCTTGCTGGGACTGGGGTCATTGTCACTCTGAACTCCAATGGGACTTGCCCTATCTCGCGCCTGTCCTCTCCCTGCGCGACCCCCCTGGCCAGCCCGCAGCCATTCCTGGTTCACCCAGGGGCGCTCCCTCTGCCCTGGTGCCAGTGTGTGACCAGCACCTCCCTGTCTCAGCCTACTATGCCAAGGCTGGAGAAAGTGCTTCCACAGGGTGAGGGCGGGAAAAGCACCCTAAACCAGGAGATCCAAGGTCTGCTCCAGCTTGGTCATTCTAGAGCAACAAGCTGCCATTTCCTGCCCTGGGTTTCCCCAGCCGTAATCGAGGGGCTGAGTGCAGCATTTTGGAAACCCCAGCAGGGAGCTGGGGGTCTCTTTCCTGTTTCTGGGAGGTCTTGAGCAGCATCAGTAGGAACCTCACCGCTCTGCTCCCCTAGGGGGACAGGCAGTTGTCTTGTCTTCTCTTGGGGGTCTCAGGACTCCTCACAGGTCACAGAGGAGAGGAAGTCGGAGACCTGTTCTCCTATCCTGCCCCTGTGCAAACCATGTCACCTTGGGTGACCGGGCAGGCCCGGGTGCTCTCCCTCTCCAGGACACTGATCTCTGGAGAAGATCACGCAAAGGAGTCAGGCAAGGAAGGGCTTCGCTGAGTGGTCCTCTGGTCGCATTAATGTTGGGACTACTGTGTTATCTAGAAATAGTTACAGATTGCAAGCCAGGCATAGTGGTGCACACACCTGTAATCCCATCACTCAGGAGCCTGAGGCAGGAGGATCTCCATGGGTTCGAGGCCAGCCTGGGTTACACAATAAGTTCAAAGCCAGTGTGGACTACACAGTGAGGCCATGTCTCAGAAAAAAAAAAAAAAAGTCACCTATTTCCAGTGCTAATGAGGCGTGGCAGGGAGGTCTCATCGTTTAGTTTCCCACCCAAGGAGATGAAGGACTGAGTCACTGAGCCTCTCTCTGCCTTCCAGGCTCCCCTGTGGCCTTCTACGCCAGCCTCTCCGATGGCACAGGGACAGCCGCCCCGCAGACAGTGAAGTTCAACACTACAAGTGTCAACCTCGGCAACAGCTACTTTCCCGAACACGGCTACTTCCGGGCCCCTGAGCGGGGCATCTACCTGTTTGCAGTGAGCGTGGAATTTGGCCCCGGCCCCGGCACGGGGCAGCTGGTGATTGGGGGTCACCATCAGACACCCGTGTGCACCACGGAGCAGAGAGCCGGGGGCACGGCCACCACCTTCGCCATGGCTGAGCTGCAGCAGGGGGAGAGAGTGTGGTTCGAGCTGACGCAGGGCACGGTAGCCAAGAGAAGCCCCGCGGGCACTGCATTCGGGGGCTTCCTGATGTTCACCACCTGAGCCCACTCGGCTGTCCTCAGACGTCGAGGACTTCCTGTCCCTTGGTCCAGAGCACCTGGCTCCTACCCGGGAACCTTCACAGAGACGTGGTGCTCAGTGTGTGCCCCATGCGTGGGCCGGGACTGCCCTCTGAGGGGACACGACAGGCACACTGCTCTCTGGTCTGCCCGATCCCTGCCCACGTGGCTCGACCCGCATCTGCTGCCCCCTGCATCCTACAGCTTCGGGGTTTTGCTCTCCTCCTGTGGTTGGAAACTTCTGTACGACATTGCAAACCCTCCTTCCTCTTCATCTTCTCCCCAAGTGGCTGCTAGAAGGAAAAGTTTCAAGAGGAGCCCTTGGGCTGGGGTGTTGCACGTGCAAGGCCCCAGGTGGGATCCCCAAAACTGAAGAGAAATGCAGGTGACATCTGAGCTAAAATTCCAAAACAGTCACAAGTGACTAGCACAGTAGGCTAAAACCCACCCTCTGGTCTCTTAGAAATGGAGCAAGGGCCTGCTTGAGTTGACCAAGGGAAATAAAATGAGTATCTTTTCTTTAGTCTCAGCCACTCCCATCTTTATCTGAATATATAATTTCATCTCTTTTTTCTCCTTGAGTTGTTCAGGAAAACACCAGGACCTGACTAAAGTGTGTTTATCTGTCCCTGGTTCCACCTCCTCCATGCTTAGACTTCCTGTCCCTGTCCCCAGCCAGGAAGGGAGCAGGGAGGGAGGAAAGCCTCAGTGAGGACCACCCTTGGAATGAAGTGACAGCCTGCAGATTGCTGCCATGCCTACTGCCCGCGAGCAAAACCGTCCCGTGTGATGCATAGACATGTAGCATGGAATGAAACTATTTGGGGTAAATGTGCCTCAGTATCTCCAGCCACACTTGACATCCACAGTTTCAGTCAACTCTGCGTGAGGTATCCAAGTGCCTTCACTTGGCAGTCACATTGATTGTAGTGAGTGAGTCAGAGTAACAGTCATCCCTGTGATATCATCTTGTGTGTTCAGGCACTTTCTCATCCCTAGGACCAAGTACCCAACAGCCACAGACTGAATGGAGCAGGAGTTTCTTTTGGGTCACACTTTCCACTGGTTCATTACATGGTCAGATACCTCCAAGGCAGACGGATGGGCCTGGCGGAGGAAGCTGCTCGTCTCATGGCAGCCAGGAAGCAGAGAGGGAGGGGAGGAGCTAAGGATGACTCTACCCTTCCGGGTCACACCCTCCTGACCACCACCTGCAACCAGGCCTTACCTCCTCACAATTCAGCTATGAACTCCTCCATGGATGAATCTACTGAAGAGTGTAGCACCCCATGAGCCACTCACCTTCACATGCATGGACTTGGGGACATTTTAGATCTAAACCATAGCAACATGCTTTAAAAAAAAATTTCAGATCCTAGAGCAAACATGCTTGAGAAAGCAGTCATCTAGCCATCAGGAAATAAAGTGGGTCTTGAGCAGTATAGTATACTCCCTTGAAGTTGTGATTCAGAGTTCAAAGCCTCAGTCATTCACAGATTTTCCCTTAGACCCTAACTAATAATTGTTCTCAGAACCACCCCCGCTGCACTTTGACAAAAACTGCAATATCCTCCACAATTGTTTTTTTGGCAAGAGAGTTGCAAGTAGCCAATTCAAGAGCGTTCCTCATTCTCTTTGGTGCTGACTGGCTGCCGCCCTGTAACCCAGCTTCCACAGATGCACCAGCATTCCCGCATCGTAACAGGTTGCTGTACTGTGTGCAGCTATCTTGAGTATGCTTGGTTTTGTTCCTAAAGCCCTAAGATCCCTAAGATGCCCCCAAGACACCCTGTACCTTCTAAGTCTTCATTAATACAGTCTTTTATTAAATTACCTAACTGTGGGGGATATAGTGTATTTATGGTTTAAACTATAAAAAAGAGGCATTTTTCTGACCGTATCTGAAATTTGTGGTTTTTCACAATTTGCGGATGCTCTAGGAATGTAACTTCTGTGAATTCTGAGGGACCACTGTATTTGATATTTGCTGAATACTCTTCTTTAGGACGTCAGACTGGCCTGGGTAATGAGATGGTGGCTGTATTAACCAGATTTCCAGCACTTCTCACTTTTTCATGAATTCAAATACTTGCCACCCCCACCTCCCCCTGAATTTGGTTGCCACTAAGCTTTGTGAACTGCATGTGCTAAAATATTGACATTACAAGCAGTTTGTAGGCCATTCTGCCTCTGGTGGTTTGACCTTGAGGTGAGCCAGAGCTGTCTGAAATATTCTCCATTATGTCGTGCAAGGCATCAGCTTACATGAGAAGTTGATGCGGCTTATGGTTGCAGAGGTTCAGTCCTTGGTCCGCTGGCTCCAAGGCAGGAACATCATGGCAGAGGGTATGGTAGAGGAATCTGATCACTTCATGGTGGCAGCTTAGGGAGCTGCCATGGAGAGGAGCTCAGGGAGAGTGCCAGGGAGAGGGATCATCTCCAAGTGGACTCCACCTCCTACCAACACATTCAGCTGTGAACACTAGTAGATTAATCCACTTATGAGTCTAGCACCCCATGAGCCCATCCCCAGAGTCTCTTAGCCCAGTCAGGTTGGCAAGACCAACTGGCACAGGTGGTTAAGCTGCCAACTCTCAGCCTTGACCACAGGTTGGAATCACTCCCACCCCATGCAGTTCGCTGCTGCCAAGAGCAGCCCGAGCTCAGGCCACCCCAGACCAAAGACCGAACACCCAGAAAAGGTGGCCGTCTCTGCCAACTGGACCATGCGTCTCCATCTGACTGTCACTGGCCAGACCTCACGGGGACTAAGCAGAACCATGAGGGCAGAACAGTCTCACTGGGGCAGGAGGTGGCTAAGGAGAGGGCTGGAGAAAGGAGGAGGGGCCCCACCTTGCAACTGCTCTCTGGGACTGGATCTGTCAGTGTGGTAAACCTTAGCCAAGACCAGGATGCCCAGATCTAAGCAGGAGAAGGGAACCAGGTAGCATCACTTACACACAGTCAAGCCCCAGGCATGCACCCCAGGGATCTTGTGCAACCCTAATCACCACATTGTTGTTGTTGTTGTTGGTTTTTTTTGTCTTTTTGAGACAGGGTCTCACTATGCAGTTCAGGCTGACCTTGAGCTCACTTTGTAGCCCAGGGTGGTCTCAAACTCACAACGATCCTCCTACCTCAGCCTCCCGAGTGCTGGGATTACAGGCGTGCAGCACCACGCCCGGCGATATCACATTGCTGACTATGCAGATTGGACTCCTGTGGGCTTTGGACGCCATTACAGCTCCTCTAAGGGCCATGAAAGGTCAAATCTTACTGCCCAGCAGAGGGGCTGAGTCAAACGGGTCATTTACAGGAATCAGACTCCTCTTTCACATAAATCACTGGTCTTGCTGCTCCTCTTGGGTGTCCTGCTCGATTCTTTGCTCAGGACATCAGGAACTCGGACAAGATCCTGGCAAGGTAACATCACTCAAGACTTGCATTTGGAAAGGACTGCATGTAATAAGCAGGGCGAATGATGTCCCCTCCACAAAGGTCCTGGTCCCCAACCCGCGGGACCAGTGCTCTTCCATGGAAAGGTTGCAAATAAAAGCATCTGCTGGGGGGATTTCAGGAAACCCCAAGGCCAAGCACAGCCCCAAAACACTTGACACCACAGGGCAGGGAGTCCAGGAGCCACGCCGCCAAGGATCCTTCAGGGACAGGTGTGGCTGCCTGGAGTCACCTGCAAGGGTCCCCAGAGAGGTGTTCCCACATTGCCTCCCAAGAGCTCCTCTCTCGTTCTCCGGCTGTGTGCTCAGTGCTTGTCTAGCACAGAGGAGCCCTGGCTTCCGTCCCCGCACCAAACACACACACACACGCACACACATGCACACACACACACGCACACACATCTTAAAGCTGGCCTCTCTGACGACAGTCACCCTGGCAAACTGGTCCACAATAACGTGTCCCTCCCCACTCCCCCAGTGGATCCCTTCCTCTCCTGGTCACCTTAACTTTCGCAAAAGGTCTATCTCACTGTTATCTACCTTTAATTTTGCTCTTTATTTATAATCTGGGTCTCTCATGTGAGCAAAGCCATGTGATATTTACACTCCTGCATCTGACATTTCACTTAACATTATGGTCTCAAGGTACATCCTTTTTCCTACAAATGGCTCAGCTTTATCCTTTATGGCAGAGTAGTTCCCCATGGTGTGTAAATACATCTTCTTTGTCCATTCATCTGTTGATGGACACATAGGCCACTTCCAAGATTTAGAAGTTATACCCAGGCATAGTGATGCACACCAGTAATCCCAGCACTTGGGAGGCTCTGGCAGGAGGATTGAGTTGGAGGCCAGCGTAGACTACACAGCAAGACTTTGTTTCAAAAATAATAATAATAAAAAAGAAAAAGATTTTGCTATCATGAATCGTGATGCTGTGAACTCTGTACCCCTGTTGTCAGAACATGATGCATTGGTCCCAGCACCAGCCTGGGCACTGCGTCGTCCTCCTGGGCAGGGTACCTGCCTGGCCTTGAGGGAGCGCTCCTTGGAGTGCAGGGTAGCACAGCCACTGTCCCTCAGCTGCGAAGGAACAGGAAGCTGCCTTCACAGAGGCCCACAGCGGAGGAGCTGGGAACTGCAAAGACAAAGTGGAGTCGTGGTCCCCAGATGGCCGGCATCAGGACCAACGGCCTCCTGGGCACAGAGGGCTGGAGACGTGGGGCATCGGAGCCCTGGACAGCACCGAGGAAATTGGATTCAGTTTTGCAGTGCTGGGGACTGAACTCAGGGCCCTGTGCACTCAAGGCGAGCTTTACCCTAGAGTCGCAGCTCCAGTTTCAGGAAATGGGCATTTCAACCTGTATTGTTGCCTCTTGAGACCTGGCTGTAACCACCATCGCCCTGACAGGCCCCAGTGCTCGGGGAGGCAGCTGACTCTGCTGGCTCCAGGAAGCTCCTGGGCTGCTACAATGTCCCGGCAGCCGGGGATGGGCCAACTTGAGCGGGTGGCAGTGAGGTCCTGGCTGACTTCAGCCCATGAGACAGCAGCAGGACTCTGCACCTGGGTGGAGAACGATACAGCAAGGCACTCACGACGTGTGGGTGTCACAACTATGACAAGAAGAGCCTTTGAGGTGACTGTGGATGACACAGTAGTGGCAAAATACTACAGTTTAGCTGGATGTGGTGGTGCACGCCTGTAATCCCAGCACTCAGGAGGCCAAGAAAGGAGGATCGCCATGAGTTTGAGGCCAGCCTGGGCTACACAGTGAAACCCTTTTTCAAAACAAATACAAAACTAAACAAAACAAAACAAAAATGACAATGGGTGAAGGGTAGATGGCATTCCTTCGACTATCTTTGCAACTTTTTGGAATTTTGAAATTGTTTCAAAATAAAGTTAAATTTGTTAAAATTTTAAAAACTCAGTAGATGGGTTGAGAAGTTAGGAGGGAAAAACCGAGAAACATGCTAAGAAGCACAAAAGAAACACCCAGAAGACCTAGTATTTATCTAACAGGAGGTCTGCCCAGGCAGCAGCAAAGCTGTGACCAAGAACCGAACAGCACCAAGGTCTGGAGGCAAGAATCAGCTTTATTTACACAGGCAGACCCAACCGGGATCATTCCCAAAGAAGTGGCACCCCAAAAGCTCAGGGAGAGAGGTTTTTGTAAAGTTGCAAAGCAGAAGTACAGAGGCAAAGTGGCTTGTCATTTGGGGGTTGGTTCTTACAGTGTGCATCATACTGCCCAGCTATGCATCACAGTGGGCAGCCATTTCTGGGAAACAGAAGTAACAGGAACTGGAATAGGAACTGAAGTAAACTGGAGGTTACTTGGGCAACAAAAACTAACAGAAACTGAAGTATACTGGCTGGGGGTGGGGCATTTTCTGCTATACTTGTAGGCCCAGCTACTTGGGAGGCTGAGGCAGCAGGACAACCTGAGCCCATAAATTCCAGACCTGGGCTATATAGTGTGAACTCATCTTAAAGGAAAAAAAAAAAAAAAAAAAAAAACAAAACCAGAGTTCTAGAAAGACAGAGGGAAAGGAGTAATAAAAATTCCCAAGTTCATAGAAGACAGGCTTGCAGTGAGTGATCATGAAAAATTCTCACATTCAAGGGGAGGTGTTATGGTTGCATCTAGATGTCTCCTCCAAAGGTTCACGCACTCATAGGTAGGGCTTTTTGGAGCTGCCTGGATCTACAGTGCATGATACTGGGGTTAGGAGTGTTTGGCACTAAGTTAGTCCACTGACTGGAATTAGCATAGTTTTGGGTGGCATCATCCCAAAGGTTGGTAGCCTGGATGGGATAAAAGGGCAAGACTGTATGCTGCTGCTGCCTCCTCCTGCCTGCCCTGCCATGGACTATTTCTCCTCTGTGATGCCCCTGTCATGCCACCCTGTCTTGCAGCCAGCAGACTGGACTGAACCTCTACAAACTATGAGCCGAAATAAACTTCTCCTCCTTTGAGTGTCAGATACTTTGACCCAGCAATGAAGAAAGTAACCAAGATAAGAGGTCAAAAGGACCCAGTTTATTAGTTCCAGGTAGTAGAAAGAATTTACTTGGATATGGTGAGTTTAAGCTTCAGACCAAGAAACTGAATCTTGTTTAGCATATCAGAGTCAGACTCCATCCATAACAGGGTTGAGAAGAGCAAGGTACTGCGGCATCTTCAATCACCGTCACTGCAGTCCGACTGAAATTCCCCTCATATCTGTGTGCTCTCAGCACTGCCAGCGCTCTTCTTTTGGGGGAGGGTGGGTACTGGGGAGTGAACCCAGGGTCCTCGCACTCAGCTACACTTCCAGTCTCTTTTTTTTTATCCTGAAGCAAGACCTTGCTAAGTCACTAAGTTACCCAGGCTGGGCTCAAACCTGAGATCCTCCTGCCTCTGTCTCCAAGAATGCTGGGATTACAAGTATGCAGTCAGTTCTTTACCTGCTTGCCAACACTTGCATTTTAGGCGGCAGAGTGACTCTGGATTTGCTCTACAAGGTAGTGCCCTCTGGAAGCCCACATTCCTTCCCCCAGCTTGAAGCCTGTTGGTCCTAAGTGCTCCGGGGGAACTTTGACGTTGGTGACACTTCAGTCTCCATGTGAAGCTCAGGATGAGCAGGCAGATGCAGGGGGACAGGACTCACCCTGTGTCACGACCTGGGCGCGTGTGGATCGCCAAGGTCACAATGGTCACCAGCAGCGACCAGAGCTGCTCTAACTGGAAAAGGGACAGGAAGGCCACACACGCTCCATGGGGAGCCACCATCTCATTTCCGGGTCACTGTGGGAGAGCGCTTCAGCCCAGGCCTCACCCTGAGCAGCCTGGCTTCCCTGTGCTCCTCTGCCAGCCCCTCCCAAAGGCCTGAAATAAGGTTGCTGAGATGTCTGACTTCAAAAGGCATCGCACAGCTGGATGCAGGGAGGCACACCTGTAATCCCAGCTCTATCAGAGGCTGATGTGGGAGGATCCTGAGTTCCAGTCCAGCTCGGATAGTTTAGAGAATCCACCATTTTTACAAAGGGGTGGGGGGTGTGGGTCAGTAGGGAGGCCCTGGGTTCAGTCTCTAGTACTGCACAAGCATATGCCATGCCACAAATGGTCAGGGCACTGGCAAGGGAATGAAGACCCCGCTGATGAGTATCTCCTTGAAAAAGTTTGTTTTTGCTTTTTTATTTTTTTTTTGGTAGTTGGGAGATGGTGGGCTCTAGGGCTTCCCACTTGCTAGGTAAGGGCTCTGCCGCGGAGCCACACAACCAGCCCTACTGCTGCCTGAAATGACCTGCACGGATGAGCCACCTATTTCTCAATACTGAAGTTCTATTAACAGAAACCTTGGGAATTGTTCCTGTGTGGACAGGGAAAGGGAAACTTTCTGCCCAGGTTGCACAGCTAGAGGGAAAGCTAGTCCGACCCTGTACTTGGCTCTGAGACGTGTGGCACACCAGGCGGCGCCTGTGCGGACTCTGAACCCATGCAGCAGGGTCCCCGGGCCAGCCCCACGCGCTGCAGAGCCTGAAGGGGCACGCAGGGGGTGCGCCCAGGAGCTGCACAGCGCTCCCTGCTGGCGACGTGGCAGAGGACATCAAGGACCGTGGGTGTTTGTATTGCAACACGTCGTCTCCCAGGGTCCTGCCCAAGGCGGGGCGCAGCTCGAGCTGTGTGGGGTGAGGAGGTGGAGGCCCTGGGTCCTCTCCAGCGCCACTACCCAGGGCACATCCACCTTCCCAGTCCACAAATGAAACTTGAAGATCTGGGTGCACGGGTATGCAGAGCATTGGTCCTCGCTCCCCAGTCATGGAAACAACCCAAACACCTGCATGGTAGCTGGATAAATGCTTCCATCATCAACTTGGTGGAATACATGCAGTTTTTAAAAATGTGTTTTTAATGGTCATGTAATGGCATATTATGATCTAAAATTGTAAAAATCAGATAGAAAAAATGATTCAAATGTAAGGAGCAGTAATGTCTGGAAGTGAAGTTTTGATTGATTTTTATTTGCTTCTTTATTCTTTCCTGTTTCCTGAAATTTCTGTCATGAGCGTATTTTTATAAGCAAAAAACAATTTTTAGAGTAAAAGGCAGAGAACCTCTCCCCATGCAGGCTTAGCACCTCGCCCTTGCACAAGGCAGGGTGTATGGCCCAGGCCGCCGGCGGAGCACACCGTGTGACTCACCTTCTGCCCCATCTCCCCAGGTGACTTCCGATGCACAACACGGTGACAACAGCAGCACAAAACACATCACTACAGTATACTAAAATAAGGTTATTTACTTAAAAATGATACATTGGACATACTCTGTATATAGAACAAAGCAGTTAATGGTAAACTGAATAAGGCACCCTTTAAAGCAGATGCTGTACAAAATACACTTAGTGTGTTATGTATCAAAGATCAATCTGGATTTTTGGTGTTTTACAGTTGCATAATAAAACTGCTTGTTTTTACCCTTTTCAATGCCTATGTACAGTTTCTCTAATTAGCTATAATGATATTTTCATTTTATACAACATATACTACATTTTAGTTTTCAGTGGGGAAGGATAAGGTCACTAAAAGAGCTTAAATAATTCCATCGAAGCAGAGGACAGAGCACAGCTAAGATGACCACAATACAGTTCACCCTTTGCAAATGCTGTATTCGTACTTTCCTCATGGGCGAGCCAGACAGGAGGGTCCACTTGCTGTTGCTCTACACTTAATTCGTTCTTTTTTTCAACTGTCTCACTCTGTAGTGCAGGCTGGCCTTGAACCCCAGGGTGACCTTCAACTCGTGGAGATCCTCCTGCCTCAGCCTCCCAAGTGCTGGGATCATAGGTGTGTGCCACCATGCCTGGCTTAATTCGGTTCTTGTGACATGTGTGTCCTCTCTGCAGTTCCTGCTGTGACTCTGCTCACAGCACTGGGGCAAGAAGACAAAATGCCACCTACTGTGTTGGCATCTGACATCAGGCAACGGGAATATCGTCACTTTCCAACAGAACAAGGCTGCAACCACCTTTTGCTAAAGATCTTTTGCTAAAGATTCTGTGACTGGCTGAAGTTGTTTTAGATATTTAGAAATGCTCTAAAACAACGTATATGGAAGAAAATATGTTTTAAATTTATGAAACTGGTCCTGAGATAAACTCTTCACTATCAGATTTACCTCAGGCCAACTCAGAGATGCATGAATCTTTAAAAATGGGGTTTTCATTCTACCTGAAAACAAATGTACTGAATATTGTTAGAGTGAATAAATAAAAAATCTGGCACATTCTAGGAAAGTGTAACTTAGAAAGAATAAAGGTAACTCGCTAAGTTTAGAAGCACTTTCGGACACAGGCAAGGCCACACTGAACAAGGACTGGACTATTCCAGTGAAGGGGCTCGGGCAGCCCCTGGAGGCCGGGCTCAGCGCACAGGCGCAGTGGGCTGTGGGTGCCAAGGACTCAGCGTGAGTCCCGCGAGCGACATCCGGGACAGAATTTGAATGCGCTTCAGTTCGGGAGCTATCTGCTAGCACAGAAATTCACAAGAAGAGTTTCCTTTGACCATTAATTTTGGCTATTTATATTCAGGTAGTTTGTGAGCTTTTTTGGTTTGTGTATATGTTTTAAATATTAAAAGAAATGACTGACTGAAGTAACACAGTTAAAATGCTAAAATTGTAAGTGGGATCAAATAACAGCTTCCAGGGTTTTACAAATTGTTAATTTCGGTAAACAGAATACGTCCTCTTGCCGGACCTGAGTATTTCACCGACTGGATGAACTTCAAATTTAAGAGGGTAGTAAGTTTCACACAACATTTTTAGATTAAAATCTAAAAATTACAAATATGGCAGCATTTGCTTTTTAAAGAACATGTTACACTACAAAATGCTTTCATTGACCAAACTTCTAAGGTTAATTCTTGATGTCATTTACTAGGCCAAGTTAATTTTTAAAACTCATGGTAGTCATTTCATATTCTGTCATCTTTTTTGCCTCCACACACCAGCTCACCATTTCCAAAGATGAATTTGCGTGTCTTTATGTGTTTTCTTTATTAAGGTGATAAATAACTTTCACGTTCACCAAGAGAAAAATGAATCAAGCTTAAACTTGAAGTAAATCAGATCTTCTACGTACTCTCAGCTCACACGGTGATTCTGATTACAGTACCTCTATTTCCCCACAGGGAGAAGGGGCCACATTCTGAAAGAGGGGTTACTATCAGTACGCAAGTTTACCTGACAAACACACTTACATGTTTTATGTTAAATGAAACTTGTTCAGTGAAACTTAGTGAACATGTGATTAAGGTAAGGTTCAACTTGGTGAAAGCTGGTATGAGGACAAAGTTTTAAATTTTGGCCTTAAATGACAGTCGAGGTTTCTGGTGATGAATGGGGTGGATATATGCTCCAATTTCCCCCACTGAATTTGAACCTTTCTGGCCATGCTGTGATACAATTGCTTATTTCCTGTTATATTCAAAGGAAATTATTTCACTTGATGCTTTCATGAGTCAGTTGTTGGGAATAAGAGATGAGCATTTCAAAGGTGCTACAGAAGCACAGCAAGCTTTGGTTACTCAGTGTTCCCCAGATAACAAGGCCTCTACTGTCTAGAAAACCGGTATTGTTTTACCAAGTGAGAGCTATCGAGCACAGACGCAAGTGCTGAACACCTGCCCGGCTCTTCCTCAACTTCACTAGTTAGGGACCAGAAACAAAACCTCAAAAAAAATCTCCAATGATTTAGGTGTCTAAAACATTTTAAGAGTGTTGATTGATTTCTATCAGCTCTGAACATAAATCCCTAATTGTAGATCCTTTAGCAAAGGACAACTGAGATGATACTGCCTCAGTAAAGTTCACCAAGTCCTGGGTTTGCTGTGGTACTCTGGAAGTTCGCGGGCAGCTCTACACACACCATCTGCCCCCAAGGACAGGAAGGTGGTACTGTGAGGCAGGTGCTGCAGTGTGCGTATGTGCACGTGTATCCAACACGGCCAGAAAGGAGGGGGTGTGCAAGTCAAGCACATCACACACACAACATAAATAATTTCCCTTTTAAAAGTTACTGTGCACAACGGATGCAGAACACGACTTAGGCACTTACATTGCTATGCAGTAACCACTTCAATAAGAAGTGGCTGCTTTAGCAACATGGTTCGTGGCATTGGAAGCTCCTACTCTGGATAGGATGCTTTACAGAACAAAAATAATAATTACAAAAAACAAGAAAGAAAGGCAGCAGAAAGGAAAGGAAAACAGTTCAGATGTGCAGACACTTTACGCTTTTTGGCCTTTACAGTAACTATTCTGTTAAAAGATAAAGTTGCTGGGGAAGCTATCTCACTTGCAAGACAAATGGCTGTTACAAATTGACGACTCTTGGCCACATACTGCATTTTTAAAGCACAAAACCACCAGCCACCAGCATCTTCCTGTGCACGCATAAATCATTTTCTTCCAATTCCAAGATGGACAGCAGAGGCATCCTGGTGTGTGCGCACACTGCTACCTGGGAGGGCAGGAAGCACTACCGTCAGCTGAGTGGTCGCCCAAGGAGCTCATCAGAAGAGGCCGTTTTATAAAGGCAGAATACAAAGAGATTACATTTCTCAGGTAGAAGGCAAAAGTGTGTATTTCTCCATCTCTGCTGAACTCATAAGCTTCTTAAGGCTTTCACAGAAAGCACTACTTTAGGAACAGGCAATTCAGTACCCAGAGTTTGACTGGAGATTTAAGAATCAGAATTGGAGTCTTGATGCAGCTCATAAAAACTCAATTAAAAAAGGCATCAAAAACTACATTTAGAACAAAGCTGTCTGTATGGGAAAGCTGCAGGCTCCGGAGTCCCAGCTTGTCCTGCAGAGCACTGGCAGGGGAACATTAGCAGCCTGTGAAGTTGAGGGAGGAAGCCCACGCTCATCCGCTGCTCCGTGGACAGTCTGGGGCCCCCATGCCTGGGTAGGTGTCAGATCTTCACGTCCTGGGACTCCACCATCTTGGCGAGCGTCTTCTTGATTCTCAGCGCGGTCAGCCTGGAGGCTGGGTTGTGGGCCCAGCACTCGGACATGAGCTTCAGCACAGCTCGCAGACACTGCGGGGAGAGAGCACGCTGAGCCTGAGACCCCCGGCGCCGGCCATCCCGCCCCAGGGCGGAGCCCACCTACCTCATCACTGTTCCAGCGGTTGGACACAAGCGGCCGCAAGCGTTTGACACATACAACCTCCCGCATGTCCTCGTAGGATGGGTCACTGGGGACCATGTTGTAGTATGGCAGCTGGTACTCCTCCACAATGCCTGCGGGTGGGGAAAGCACAGTGGGCACAGGGCTGTGGGGGCAGAGTCCACGCGGCAGCTCACTGAGCCCGGGACGGAAACTGTCTATATGATGAAGAAACAAGTACGTCAGGGATGAGCTCTCACAGTACAGCTCTGTGTTTCTCTTATGCCTCGCTATTCCCTTTCCCCCTACCAAGGGGCCCATCACAGTGTGACAGAGTCCATCAGCAAAGGGCATACTAATATTCCTTTAAAAAAAGATGGCAGGAAGAAACACACAGACCTCTGAATTCCAAACTTAATCTGATTATCTACTTAAATAATCATTCCTACTTTTTGGGAGTGGGGGTTTGAAACAGGATCTCTTTGTGCAGTGCAGGCTGGCCTGAACCCACAGTGACCCTCCTGCCTCAGCTTCCTGAGTGCTGGGATTATAGGCATGTGCCACCACATCTGGTCATAGCCAGTTCCTACTAATGTGTGCAGTTTCTTCACTTGTCTTGTGTTCGGCAGGAGACCAAGCTGCCATGATGTGCAGCCCAAGGCTGCTCTCTTCAGGCAGGTCATATAGAACCTGTCCCGGGAATCTTGGGCGAGGGTCTGGACAGGACAGACACTTCCCTGCGAGGTAAGGGCATGCACTCCCCGGTCTGAGCAAACAACATGGAGCATGTGAACAATGCTTTCCTCTTGGAGCTGGACTGTGCGCCCTCAGTGATGGCCTCCAACACACCTAAGGTGCTGGCTCTACTAAGGGGCGCTTTCTGGTGCACCACACATGGGGCGCTGTGGGGTGCAGCACTCGTCATGTGAGGGTTGCTCTGGGTGGGCCACTGGGTTCTCTAACCTTGCCCGCACATCTCCCTGTGTGGTTCACTGCCGTCACCCTGAGCAGCGTGGATAGGATGGGACTGGTGCCCATGGGAACAGAAGTGCGTGGTGCCACACCTACCTCCCGTGATGCAGCGGCGGGCCATCTCCCAGATGATCAGGCCGAAGCTGTAGATGTCGGCCATGATGTAGGGCTGGAAGTGGTTCTTGTTCAGGCTTTCATCCAGCACCTCTGGAGCCATGTAGCGCTTGGTGCCCACCCTGGTATTCAAGGGCACATCAACTTCATTTGTGTCACTGGAACAGGAAGGGCCATGGTCCAAGGTGAAGACAAAGAATAGTGTATCTACTATTTCTGTCCTATCTCATATAAGCTTTGTATATGTATGTGCGTATCAGAAACCTTGGGGCCAGGTATGTTAGGAAACAGAGCATCTCTGGCTCTGAGGCAAGCAGGCTGTCCTCACACACACTGCGTGTACACAGTGCAGCCAGTGGGTGTGAACAGGCCTCCAACCTCTGCCCAGGCTTTGGGGAGTACCGAGCCCAGCAGGATGGAGACAATGAGAGCCCTACAGCCAGGCAGGCCAGAGCCTGTTCTCAGGTAGGACTGGGGTCTCTCCAAGAAAGAGGTGACACTGAATCAAAGAAAAAGTGTAGCTAAACATATCCAAGAAGAAGTGAGTGTGAGAATAAACAGGAAGAGGAATCACTTGCTTTTCTCACTCTCACATGATATGCTCAGTCTTTGGGACACAGGACTATACTCTTCAAAGCAACTCAGTTCTGCTGTGAACAGCGTTGCCTTAACACGCTGACAATCAGAGCCACCTGGTTGCTAGCTTGTGAATTTCACGACAGGGCTTTAGCGTGAAGACAGGAATGTGGGTTGCACGCACTCCTCAGGAGAGCCCGTAAGCACAGATGCCCTGGAGCGCTGTGCTCCACTACCCAGAGCCCAGCAAGGACAGCCTTGCACTGGTGACAGGAGGGATGCAGATGCGCTCAGAGCTGTTCCCAGTTTGGCATTTCAGGGCTGACATGGACTCTGCAGTGTAACCTGACTCTACAACACTATGCAAAAGAGTTTCAACTTTAAAGCAGCTTCAGTGAGTCCCTGAATTTTTCTGATTCTCATAGTTTTAAAAAATTGACAATTATCAAGTGACAGTGGAGAAATGGCACTGCTCTGTCCCTATCACAGGAACACAATCCTCCTGATGCACACTTTCTGAGGGGGTGATCTGCAGTGGGCCACAACATGGTACATACACACTGTCTCAGCATCCCCTTCCCTAGGGATCTCTTGTGAAGATATCTGCACAAGTACAATAGTGTTCATTAACATTATTTCCTTTTTAGTAATAGATACATTGGAGACAACCATAACCTCCATTAGATGGGTCATCTGTAACAACTTACAGTACATCTGTATGACTGAACTTTGCATCTGTTAAAAAGAATGAAGTAAGTCAGGCATGGTAGTGCAAGCCTGTAATCCCAGCTGCTTGGGAGGCTGAGTCACGAGGATCCCAAGTTTGAAGGCAGCCTGGGCAACTTGATGAGACTGTCTCAAAACAATTTTAAAAAGGACTGAGGTATAGTTCAGGGGCACAGCGCTTATTCTGTACTAGGGCCTGGATTCATTCCCCAATACTGCCAAAAGAAAACGAAAGCAAAAAAGATGTAGATTTACACAAATTGAAATAGGACTGTCTATGCCAATAAAAAGCAGGAAATAAAGAATTATGTATAGTAGTATGTGATTTGTGTAAAAAGAAGACTCCAAAAACCCAAACATATGTTTATATCCCTATGCAATGCAATATCCCTTACGCATTTTGAGAATTCCAGTGTCCTGAATGCAAATGGGCCATGTGTGTGCACACGTCTGTCCTTGGAGAGCAGACTCACCATACGCCACCAGTGGGCTTTTTCACTGTTCTCTTTATTTTCTATTTTGACACAGGGTCTTACTAAGTCATCCAGGCTGGCTTCACTTGTGATCCTCCTGCCTCAGCCTCCCAAGTAGCTGAGAGTACAGGTGTGTTCCCATAACAGGCAGACAAGTATCTTTTAGACATTAAAATAATTTCAAAACAGAGGGGCAAAGAATCACCCACCTGTTGAATTTAACCGCGAGGCCCAGATCGGCAATACAGCAACTTCCGTTTTTTTTGATGAGGATGTTCTTGCTCTTGAGGTCTCGGTGAGCAATTGCAGGCTTCCCTTGGGTGCCATAAATCTCTGTGTGGAGGTGGCACAGCCCACAGGCAGCAGAGTAGGCCAGCTTGAGCAGGGCTCTGGTGTCCAGTGTAGCGCACTTCAGGAAGTCATAGAGAGACCCATTTTCATGGTAATCAGTGATCAGATAGAGCTGCGTCCAGGAACCCGTGCCTTTAATGTCTGCGGCTATGAACCCTGTGGGTAATGGGTGGGAAAGGTCAGCGCTCAGCAGAGGGGCAGAGGGGTTATAGGTGAGTTGGGAGTGGGCAGGGCACTGACGGCAATCGATGCACAACATGCAGACAGGAATGATTTAATTCTGCCTGGCAGAAACTCGTGAATGTGTTACGAACATATTATCTCTCTCATACACCCGCTTCTGCCATATACACACACACGTGTACATACATATATTACACTTCTGCAATACACTTACAGTAACCTAAACAATAATCATAAAATGCCATGACCAAGAAGAGGAGTGCATGTACTGTAATAACCTGCAGAATGTTCTCAAGCTACCTGAGTGTCTAGTGGAAAAGGTTCTCACTTTCACCCTGGAAAGTGGACACCTGAAAAGGTCAGGGAGTGCTGTGTGGGTTCAACAGTGTTGCCCCAAAAGTCTTTTTCACCAGGATCCTGTGACTGTGACCCTGCTTGAAAACAGTCTTTGCAGAAGGGACCAGGCTGAGGCCGGGCAGGACTAGGGTGGCCCTGATTCTGACTGGTGTCCTTTAAGATGGCAGCGTGGACACAGGCACATAGCAAAGAAGCCAGATGACAGCAGAAGACTGGAGCATTGCCTCTAAATCCAAGTCTGCTCATAGCTGCTGCAGCCAGGCAGGAGGGGAAGGACCCTCCCGAGCCTTCAGCGAGTACAATCTGATCTTGACTTCTGGTCTGTGGGACTCACAGAATCACCCTGTGTCGCTGTGAGCCACCCTGCTCACAGTCATGTGTCACAGCAGCAAAGGAAAGAAAGGGGGATGCGTGTGAGACACTTGGCAATGTGCTGTGCACTCTCCAGAGAAAGGGGTAGGGAAGTGGTAGCTGTAAAGAAAACTCAGGCAATGAGATCCACCTCATGTGCCGTGCTGACGTCATCACAGCTAAATCACTGCTGCTGTGGAATGAGATGGGAAAGGCACACACTAAACCCGGGACACACAGGGGACCTGCAAGTTTGGGTGTCAAGCTTACAAAAGACAAACTGCATGTGTACTCAGAGGCTCCCTAGAAAACTACTTGGAGCATCTGTACAGGTCGGGCTTTCGTTACTGGAGGAGTAAGGCCACACGTTAGCATCGCTATCCATTTTCTCCAGTTGGGTACCAAGCACATGCACACGGCAAGCAATCAGGGCCCTGCACCAACCCTGCCTGAACACAGAAAGGCGGAACATGAGGGCACCTACCAAGTATATTCTCGTGGCGCATCAGCACAGTTTGGTAGATCTCTGTTTCTCGGAACCAGCTTGCTTCTTCAGTGGTAAAGAACACTTTGACTGCCACCTTTTCTCCACGCCATTTACCCATCCACACTTCTCCATACCGGCCTTTTCCAACCTGCCGAACCATCTGAATCTGTTTGGCAATAGTTCGTTGAACCTTTACAGGACAAAAGAAAAGGTTTTGAGGTCTTAATGAAAAGACAAAGGGGTATGATGGTCCCTGCCATCAAGAGGATGGTATATCCAACCAACCGACCAACTGCAGCATTAGAATGCATAACATATGTACGTGAAAAAACAATATACAATGTACCCTGAGATCACCAACAGGTAGTCAATGGGAAAACAGTCACCTTAGGCAGACCTGGGCTCTGGTTACAGCAAGCATGCTGCAAAGCAAAGACCTACAAGTGTCTGCGTGCAGGGCTTGCGCTTTCACACTGTTCTGGGAAGCCCCCCTCCCACGAAGCCCAAGCAAGCTGTCAATCTGTGCATCAACCATACCTCCTAGCCCAGGCTGCACGAGACTCAGCACTGTGAGCAACGAAATGTTTGCGGCCTCCAGTGCAGCACACCCAAAATGATAGTTACACTCCTAATTCTTCTCTAAAACCCAGAAGCTCTGGCCCGGCCCTGTCCATTCTGATCGCCAACCTGCACTTCGTCCTCCACTATTCGTTTTTCACACTGATCATTTCAGTCTTATTTCTACATGCTCGGCCATCGCTCAGAGAACACAGGTATCTATCTGTGACAACACCTCCAGTACAGTAAGTGCTTTACCTTTCCCTTTCAGTGCAAAGAACGCTGCGTGTGGGCAGGCAGGAGTGCATCTGCAGGTGAAGGGAGGCCACATGGGGTGCAGTGCTGAGCACCTCCCGGACAGTGTGAGGCTGTGGCTCCATCTCCAGCACTGCACAGACTGACTTCATGCCCTATTATTATGCTTTTGTAATCTTTTTAAAAAGGACTATTAAGGTATGATTTACATACAATAGAATTTACCCTTTTTGAGGATAGCACACTAAGTTTTGACAAATACAGACACCCAATCCCCAGCACTGCATTTAAGATATAGACCATTTCCATATCTTAAGAAAGTCCCCACACTCCCAGCCCCTGGCACCCCTGGCCAGGCCTCTTCTGGTAGAGACTAGCCCTTTTTGGAGTTTCACAGAAGGAGATACACACAACATGCAGCCTCTGTGTCTGGCTTCCTTCATGGAGCACCAAAGGCTCTGAGTGACCTATGCTGATGCTGTAGGTATTGGTATTTGTTATGAGTCCTTTTCTACTGTATGAATGTGTCCTGATTTGTTTATCCATCTACCAGCTGATGGACTTTGGGCCTGTTTCTTTTTTGTTTGTTTGTTTTTTGAGACAGGGTTTTGCTATATAATGCAGACTGGCCTTGAACTCATTTACATAGCCCCATGCGGCCTCGAACTCGAGGCAATCTTGCCTCAGCTTCCTGAGGGCTGGGATTATAGGCATGCGCCACCACACCTGGCCTGACCTAGCCTTCTTGCTCTCTATACATCACACTTCTTTCTTATTTTGGGCTATATCTTATTACCTATTCTATTTTTCTTGGTTCACACTTTTTTTTTTTTGAAACAGAGTCTTGCTAAGTTGCTAAGGAGTGTGGCCTGGGTTGCCATTCTCCTGCCTCAGCCTCCCAAGTGCTAGGATTACAGGTATGCACTACTACACCCAGCTGTACAATTTCACTTTTAAGTCATTTTATCTTGCATTCTGGGATGCATCCTCCTTGATACGGAGAAAGAAAAGAGGACTGGTATATCTGCAGTAACTCCCCCAATCTGCAGTGATGACCCCACCCGTCTTCTCAGGAGGACGTCTTCCACCTGAGCCAGCTATGCTCCCGGGAAGTGCTAACTCACCAGTAAGGGCAGTCCAGACCCACTGCCAGAGCTCTGCGACTGGTCAATGAGGTCTTTCAATGACTCTCCCACCGGAATAAATGCTTCATCTTGTTCCAAATCACGATTGTAGCGACGTCTGTTTGAGATGCTCTTGCAATAGTGTCTTTTAAGAAGCAGAAAACAATCTATATTAAAGTTCTAAAGCCATCAAATTCTGCGCTGATTTCCTAAAATTTCCTACACCATCATCCTTCCTTCAAATAGGAAGGAATACACCAATCAGTCTTATTATAGAAAACACCCTGTGCTATACATCAGGAATGGGTTTCACACATCAGGCTGAACAGAGAGAGGTTCATGGTGTGCTGGCAGTTAAAAAACAAATCAAGTAGCATGCAAAGTATCATCCAGGCTGTTACACAAGTTTTACTCCTTCTTACCTATATAAAATATTAGAAAGGGTATACAGCATAGGAATACTGACTTTCTACTGTAGAGGTTTTCTTCTGTGTTTATAACTGTATTGTGTTAAAATGAGTAATGAATATGCCTGCATTTCCAAAAAAAGAATACTTGCAAAAATCAGTCCTTTGCAGTACAAGTTGCCCATATTTTTCACTTGCAGTCTGTCATTGGGCAGTTTGTGGTGGTTTTTGCCACACAGTATAATTTTGTTTTGTTGGTACTGGGGATTGAACCCAGGGTCCTTGCACTGAGCTGCTTCCTAAAGTCCTTTAAATTTTTTTTTCTGTGACAGGATGACTTCAACTTATAACCCTCCTGCTTTAGCTTCCCAGAGTACTAGGAGTAAAGGTGTGCATCACCATACCTGACACATAGTACAGTTTTATTTTTATGTAGCTAATACTATTTTATCTGTCTGTCTGTCTACCCATCTACCTACTATATTTATTTGCTTCCAAGTTTTGTGTCGCCCTCAGAAGAGTTCTCCAAACTCTGAGATTCATTTTCCTATATACATACATAATTCTAATCTTGCTCAAATTTATTTCAGTGCAGGAATTGTTCCGACTTCATTTTCCCCCTCTATTAGTCTATCTAGTCTCAAATCCATTTATTAAACAATGTATCTTTCTCCTCAGTGATATGGAGAAACCATAGTTTGTATTTTGAGATAGGGTTTCCCTGTGCAGTTCAACATGGCCTTGAATTCACTTTGTAGCCCAGGCTGGCCTCAAATTCTCAGTGATCTTCCTATCTCAGCCTCCATAGATTACAGACGTGCACCACCATGCCTGGCTCGAGATTCAGTGATCTGAAATGTTACCTTTATAATATATGAAACTTGCTAACCTATTTCACTGATATCTCTGTATTACCCCATTATGATAATGTTTTATTACTGAAGTTGTTTTTGGTAGCGGCTGTCTCCCCTTACTACTCTTCTTTTTAGCAACTGTCTTCTACAGTGATTAAATGCAAACATTTCTGAAACTGCCAGTTACTAAATATAAGGCAGCTGGTTTCTAGGGACTGGGTGCAAAAACTCAGATATAACAAAGATCACTAGTTCACAAACAAGAAAACTGTGAATATGCAGGACACAGAAGTATAAAACTGTGCCCACTTAATTAGTAGTAAGATCTTTTTCCCTCCTTAAAAAAACTAGTCTAGTTAACTTAAGAAGATATTTAGAGAATACAAACTTAGTGTATGAATCACCTACAGCAATCAGTGGTTGCTGACAATAGTTTTAAAAATAAGGTCCATATCTAACAGTTAATAAAGTAATTTACATCAAACCAAGCATCTTCTTACTTGTAACAAAAGCAGCTGGAGAAAATGATCATAGCAATTATGCAGACAGCCATGGAAATCAGCACTACCAGCCATCGAATGCTGCCATCAAAAAATGGACCTGCCAATAAGAGGTAGATAATGAAAGAAATAGGGTCTTTCCACCACATTAATTAAAAGGAAAAACAACAGCATGCTAAATTCCAGGCAGCTTAAAGGTTACTGCTAAAACCACAAAAAATATGTAACAGAGAACCGTGGCTAACCTACCCATAACAACAGGGGGCAGTGTAGGCTGCAAATACTGGTTACACAAATTGGTCCGACAACATTCTATTGTCCGGCGAGGCTGGGCTTTTGGAGAATCCTAGAAGAGTAATGGTAAAATTGGAAACGGTTTGATGTATTAACTGATAATGAACTTTTCAAATACTGATAAAATACAATTTCTAATTCAGTGAGTGAAACACATGTGCAAAGTTTCAAAAATATTATTGAAAAATTAAAATTTTGTGCTGAAACACTGTTGCAAAGACTGCTAAAATGGGTTTCCTTTAGAAGACTGTAAATGTTGATAGTCTATTAAAACACCAGACTATAATTTAATGGCAGAAAAATGAAACTTTTTTATTGTTTTTCATACTAAATGTTGGCATGGCTTGATAAATTACCATGGAAGTTGTTTCTGGTAAAAAAGTGACTAAAGTCATGGTGGCTTTTCCTAGAAAAAGATGGGTAATAAATATTATAATGATAAACTAGTATGGAAAATATAACTGCACATTACTACTGTCATTTGGATGAGGTTTACGATCAGACCAAAAAGTGGAAGAAGACCTAATCCAAAGACAAGACCGGTACAGAGGTAATGGAGTACATAAAAGTTATTAGTGTACAGTCTGCATCTAACAGTGATGATAAAACTAACGAACTTGATGTGGAATCAAGTTGAAGCACACAGGCAAGGGAAACAGCAAAACATAGAAATACTATTTCTGGGAGTATGGTAGAGACCACCAACAAAACAGGAGATGGGTTCCTAACTAGTCAGAAAACTGGCCCAGTCACAGAACAGAATCAAGAATTATCTGTGATGTTTATCTGATTAGCAATTCAATGTAAGCAAGCTGAATGCTGACAGTTCAGCACTGCTTGGGAGAAGAGCGACTCTGGACCCAAATACTAATAGAAGGGAACTGCCATTTTTATAAGAGTAGCAAGAATATAAAGAGAAATCAACCACGTCAATATACATATCAGACGGCCAGAAAGGAAAAGCACCAGTATACAGTACTTGAGTCTGTCTTACAGAGGCAAATACAAGTCCATGACTTGAGATTCCATCTTTAATGATGGTCAAGCAGATTTTGATATCTCTAAAAGGTTTATTTTTTTTAACTGAGTATTTTTACTTTTTAAACAAAATTTCCTTCAAAATCATACAGAGAAGAAGAAAAACAGGTATGTTAGGGGTTGTTCTGCAGGCCCTGAAATGATCACAGATCTAACCAAGACTTGCAATGGAGGATAGGATGAAGAGCACGTGATTAAAGAGGAGTAATGCAAGTGCTGAGTATCAAGGAATAGTTCCAGGAAGGCTGCAACGAGCTCAGTCTTGCCAAGAAAAAGGGGGATGGCAAACCGAGCAAGGGGCTTCCCTGTCAGTGCAGGGAGAAAGACTACCAAGCAGTATTGTTCACTTAATGGGATGAGGGAAGACAAGGACACACAATTCCTCAACTCCTGTTGTTCTGTCTTCTCTATCAAGAGCTGTTACAGGAATGAAGAAGGTGGCCTAAATACTAGGGAGTGGGAACTGATATCCCTGAGGTTTGAAGAGATCTTACGATGTTCTTTGTATTCTACATGAGTGCACATCTTCTAATCTAGTGAGTCATATTCCTGGAAGATGAGAACACTTACTCATGAGAGAGCTGAAAGACAGGTATGATTTTGATTCTGGAAACAAGGCGTGTTGGAAACTGGAGAGCTGAAAGTCCTATTATTTTTCTTCAAAAGGTAAAGAAAGGTTTTGGCAACAGATTGAAGGTAGCGTGGTATCATGAAAAGAGCAAGGGCTTTGGAACCCACTTCCTCACTTTACCAGTTGTTCTCTTGTGACCATGGGCATCTAACCTCTTTCTGGACTTTAATTTCCTCTGCTGAAAAATATAGGACACAAAATACCTGCCTCACTTGCCGAGGACCCTGGGTTCTATCCCCAGTACTGGGAGGAAGGGGAATCTGCCTTACAGAGTAACTGGAAGCAACGACACACAGGTATCTACCAAATACCTAGCATCAAATGCAAATAGTAAATATCTGTCTCCCTCCGGCAAGTGTGACATAAATCCTAGATAAGATTCTAGAATAACCCAAAAGGGCTGGGCAGCTCTAGAATACCAGTTAGGCTTTACCAATAAGAAGCAACACCAGACTCATCATGCATCTTTTTTATACATGTTACCAATCTATCCAGTGGTTAAAAGTAGTAGAAATTATGTACATCACTACTACTACTATTCTTCTTTTGTTTTTAATAGGTACTGTGGATTAAACCCTCATGAATGCAAGCCAAGCACTACCACTGAGCCACATCCCTGGCCCACGGCTGTCTAGACCTGCACTCCCTACACTCACTGCCCTCATCCTCTACAAGTCAATTTCTAACTCCAGACTTTGGGGGACTAGAAATCCTTGTGGGGAAAAAATTCACTTGGTGTTGATGAAGTGGAAGATTCCAATGTAAGTAAATGCACTCTGTGTGCTTAGGCTGGAGACAGTACACGAAAAAGGAACCGAAGCCAAGTAACAAGGAATGGCAGCAAAGTTCCAAGAAAACAACCATGGCACAGGAGGACACAGCACAAGCCAGGCTCACCAGTGGAGCCAGGGCCGGCACGAATAGAAACCCAGTGCTGACCCTTGCATCTATGCTGACCCACACCTTGCAGCCGTTAACGCAGCAAGCTCTGTTCTCTGGTGGGAGAACTGGCGAATGGGAACAATGTTCATAAGATATGCAGAAAGCTAGGTAAGTACTGTACTGATTGAATGTTTTTATGTGGAAACCCTTAAACAAAACTTTAAAACAGTAACATATTCTTTACATTTTAATGCTGACATCTAGAATTTTTTATCATGAATTTAAATAACTGCATAGAATGCATTAATTTCTCGTTTACCTTACATAATGACACCTTAAAATAGAACTGTTACCTCATTCTTTAATCTATTCAGTGGAGTCTTAATAGCACAGCAATTTGATAGTCACTGTCATCATTTAAAAAAATAAATGAAATAATGCTTCTTATCTCAAGTGGAAATTTTACACTGGGACTTCTATTTCCTT